CACACACACACACACACACACACACACACACACACACACACATGTGTATGTATGTATGCATGTATATGAGCAAGGTTTCCACTTTTTAACTTGCCTCTTTTCAACCTTTTTTTCTAGTGGTAAATGCGCTTGGTACCACACCATACTTTATTTAAAGTGCTGGTGCATGTACGTGGCTGTGACATTTTGTAAAATTCGTATCTTAAACGCTATTGGTAAACAATTGGACAATTGGTTCGGAAGTAGTAAGTTTGCGTTCTGGCGAAAAGTAAACACTAAGAAGAACGAGGAGAGAGAAGACAGTGGCAATTGGATTCACGGTGGGCTAGAAACTAATATCGCGTTACCCAGTACCGGCGAAGAAGCCATGAAAAGATTATTAGCGTGCAAGGGAAAGGATCCTTACAGCATACTCGGTGTTACGCCAACGTGCTCGGACGACGATATAAAAAAATATTACAAGAGACAAGCCTTTCTAGTACATCCGGATAAAAATAACCAGCCAGGAGCAGAGGAAGCATTCAAAATATTGGTACATGCCTTCGATATCATTGGGGAACCGGTAATAAAGCATCCGTTTCACTCTAAATTTTTTTCTCAATTACAGAATAATAACAATACTGAAAATTAGTAACGTTAGTTTTTGATTACCGTAAGATTACCAAGCACGTGTACGTTGCGTATTATTTTAGGAACGTAGGCAAGCCTTCGATCAAACTAGGCAGGTCGAAGCGGCTTGGGGTGAGCTAAGTGACTTGCTGTCGCAACTTCATCGAAAGATGGAACAGGCAGCAAATACAATAAGATGTACAAATTGCGGCTTGAGACACAAACGTATCCCTACGCAACGTCCTTGTTATGCCGCGCGATTTTGCAATCAATGCAAAATACGTCACAGTGCGAAAGAGGCGAGTGTCGAATTTATTCCTATATACATTTCTTATATACATTTATCAGTTGTGTCCGCTCTCTGAAATTAATCGTAATTCAAATTGTCCGTATAGGGTGATATCTGGGCAGAGTCTCGTTTAATGGGTTTCCTATGGCACTATTACGCATGTATGGAAGGAGCAGTGTACGATGTGACTGACTGGGCAGCTTGCCAAGCTGGGAATCTCAAACATCTTAGAGCGAATACGCATAGTGTCCAATATAGAATCGTCTTAGGACAAAGACTACCGTCTCAAACGTCCAGTAGCGGTAAAAAACGGCAACAGATAGATCCCAATACAAGGTATACTTTGTGCGATTGATTGTTGGCGCATCGTCTTTTTTTTTTAACTAGCCTACACACACACACACACACACACACACACACACACACACACACACACACGTCGGCTTGTTTGACATTTTATTCAGCAAGCTCCTCTCCGTTGTGCATCTAGAATGAACATATCTTTTCTTTTTTACAAAACAGCGAAGCGGATTTCGAGGATTTCCTAAACAATCTCTACAACCATAGCAAATCTGCTGGCGTTAATACATCGGGGGATCAAAATTCTTTCAGAGGTGACAGCAGACGACGCAAAACTAAGCGTAAGAAGTAGAACAGCAGTAGATGAACAATTGCTGAGGGTTTGACCGATCGTCGTTGTGTAATTACAAAGTACGCATTACATTAGAACGCATATATTATACGCAATCTTAATTTTACATTATTCTTAAACAATTAACCATAGCATATAGGTGTTACGATAATATTCATGAAATGCTAATATCTGACTGATATGCAATATGAGATTATGAGAAACTGTGTTCACGATAAACGTACGTGTACTAAACATCGTATCGAATAGACTCGCACGTTGAAAAGAAGAAAGCTTGAGAATGATAGGAGAGTATTGCAATAGCGACAATTTGACAACAGAAACGTTCAACGAATACATTCAGCAACGCGACAGCGCGGTATTTTGCAGATTTAAAATCACAAAAACGTTGACTCTCTCCAAGATAATACATAGAGATGCCAAATAACAATTGTAGAAAAACCAGGGAGTAAGATACTCCCTGAGAAAAACACAGCGTTGTATCCTTGCTAAAAATGATCGATTGAATACGATTAAAAATTTTGAATCCGCATGAATCTGGATTCTTGATCCGGAAATCACGGATTTATAACGATTACACCGACTGAAAACGATTGAAACGGATTGGTATTCAAGGATGTAATTTCAATCGGATTCTATCGATTTGAATTGTTATGATTTTATAACGATTACACTGATTGAAAACGATTGAAACGGATTGATATTCAAAGATGTAATTTCAATCGGTTCCTATCGGTTTGAATCGTTACACGCAGAAAATTTTTCTCGAAAATACAAGTATACACGAACAAAGTAAATACCATACTAATCTTGCACGGCTAGGATATAGTCATAATATGCAAAAGATTTCAAGAAAGTATAGGAAATTTAGTGAGCAAAGAATAAAAATATGGCTGATGGACAAAAAACGAGACGTCTGTTGCAGTCATGGCAAAAACATAAGTTGCTGTTATAGGCTGTGGCGGTCAGCTGTCCGCCACGAGCGAACTTGAAAACGCTGTAGAAACCCTGCCGAGCTGCCCTAGATATAGGGGTCGATGTTGAATCTTAATCACGCGAGAATATACCGGCGATGCGCCGCGTAGCGGGCGCGAACCGAACTCTTTCGCCGCGCGAGCCCGCGTTGCCGCTCGCGCCGCGCGCCTTCCGTCGTCTATATACATATTAGTATAGGACTTTTTTTACTTTTCTCATATTTCCTTGGTATAGTCCGAGAGGTAGCGACACAAAAGTGTCAGCGATTTTATTAGTCTTGGAACAAAGTAATTTCTCTTGTTTTAATAGTGTTGTTGATGAAATGCAGA